CAAGTGATAAGCAAAAGCAAAATTTTCTAAAAGACTGTAAATTAATTAGCTGGTTCTCCGTGAAGTTTAATTAATATTTATTCCTTCACACAAGGGAAACTCTGAAACAAGTAAACTCACCTATTGATGTCTTCTCAGCTCTTACCCATACTACACTTGAGAAAAGCAAATACTCTTTCAGAAAGGAATACTTAAGACAGTATTCAAAAACTGTATTTTTCTTCTACAAACTTGACATTATGATGAAAATGCAAATTCTACAAAGGAACACACTGCCACTGTGTGACAAACATGACCTGTTCAACACAGAATCAGCCATGAGATTCAAGAAAAGAGGTGGAAGCAGGACAGCTTGTTTTTCTCCTGATTTTTTTTACCTTATACAAAGGTTTCTTTCAATACTAAGTTGGATATTTGCAGTTCTTGAGTAATTACTGATTTACTCAGCTGCAGTGAACAAGGAATGCATCTGAGATAAGGTGAAACACAAGGTAAATGGAACTAGTTTAGTTATAACTAATATGTTAACAGATCAGCAGCAGCTCTCTACACACACACAATATGCCTCTAAATGCTCTATTCAGGCAAGTTCTGCCAATTTAGTTCACTCACTTCTCTTGTAAAGTTTGCTAAAGAACAAGCATTTGTGCACAGAAGAAGTCTTATCAGCTGACATTCTCCTAAAAGGATGCACAAGACATGCTACAGCCAGTATTTACCAGCAAAGAAATGAGCTTGCATTTCACAAAAAGGAAGAGCAACAAGAGTTGGACAAGGACTACTTGTTATAGGACTCAAGGTGCTAACTCAAGCCAAACAGATTAAAGAAAATTATTTCAAATGTAAAAACAGCCTTACTTCAGAAAAATAAGTGAATCAATTGGGCTGCAGTTATTCAAAGCATAATGAAAAAAGTTCAGCCATTCTTTGTTTCTTCATCAGCAGAGTTTGCATTTTCAATAATGATAAAAATATTATGTAACATCTCAGTACTTTTTCCAGATGGGGTAGTACACGCTTCTTCTTTTTGTTCCTAGTAAGTACAGTCAAACTACTCATTTTCAAGAAAAAAGAGTAAAAAGACATTTTAAGACCTGTTAAGTGGTGTATGTACTAGTAGCATTCTCCAGTGCAACAAATTACTTTCATCATGTGTGGGTATCAATACATAAAATATATTCAACATAACACAAACACTAATTAAAATCTTAACTGCCACAACTACTAAGCTTTACAGTACAAACAATCACATCCCAGTTTTGTGGAGTGTCAGAAGCTTATCTTAAATCAGCAATGACTCCATCCTCTCAAGTATTGTTACAAACAGCCACATCCTGCCTCCTCCAACTTCATGCTAGAAAAGGGAGAGAAATCTTCTACAATATGGCTTTTATTTAGTAAGTCAACTTACAAAATAAATACTCTTCACAGAAAACATGCTGCCAAAAAGCAAATAAATGAATCTATTGTCTCAATGTTGTTATAATAAAATAAATACCTGTACTGTCTTTCCAAGGCCCATATCATCTCCAAGAATGCATCCCCTTTTATTAGCATAGTGCCAGTAGAGAAACTGGGCTCCTTCCCTTTGATAACCACGCAGGTATCTATTAATTGTATATGGGATAAAATCACCGTCATCAGATAACTTAAAAGCAACTGTTGAAGATGGAACATTTTGGCTAGGAAAATAAGGCTTTTCCAGGTCACTGTCATCAAATATCACACTCTTCCAGGAACATCTACCAGATTCAACTTTACAGAGCTCAGATATTAGTATTTTCTTATCTTCAGATCCCAAGAATGATACAACAGCAAATGATTTTCCATTCTTGTCCTTTTCAATTGATGATATTATTCCTTCAGAAAGCTTTCCATTTGCAGGACAAGGTGCAAGGCATCTCTCCCCAGCATGCCATCTATCTATGGAAACAAACAAAACAAAACAACAACAAAAATAACACAATGAAAAACTGGCCAAATGCACGAAGTATTACATTTGGAAACACTGACCTAAATATTAGATACTAACTCATTTCATGAAAGGCATATAACTCAAGATTATATGCATTTCAAGGCTCTATTGAAGGCAGCACTAGAATTACAATACCGATTACTGATTAGAACCAAATTCCAAGATAGGCACTTGCAATGCAATAAGCAATACAGTGTTTGTATTGCTGTTTTTAAAATACCTGAAAGCCTGCCAGGAAAAAAACCTCATGCAAACACTGATTGATAAGTTTCACTTGACAAGCCCACACTGACAGGGTTAGCATCCAATTAATAAACCATGTCACCTGTTTCAAAATACCCTCTACAACAGATAGCACTTGTCATCTACTTGAATGCAGTACTTCAGTTTCATTAAGTTGTTTCACAAATACAACCATGTATGAAGCATATTTCTCCTCATAATGTCTAGCATTAGGAAGAAAAAACCTTATTTTAGAAGTAACAGAAGCGTACTCTAAGAACATATATGAGGATAGCATATATGAGGATAGCATTTGCCTATGTCCTTCTCCAAAGTGGGTAACTGACTGAATTCCTTACGCAGCTGTAAAGTCTTCAACTATTAAAATCTCTTTCTCTGTAAGGTCTTACCCCATTAATACTGCATATCAAACACTAACAGAGAAAACTGAGCTGCTTCTTTTATTTATTTTTTTTTACATTTCTGATACAATCTTTAATGATGCATGTGTTGCTAACAAAGAAAGAAAAATATCAGACCAGCACTGTATAAGAGTTAAAAGAATTCATACTGTACTGACAAGGAAGTACCTAACAAAATATTAGAAAAAGCAAGGCCTTCACCGTAGGGGGAAAACAACAACAGAAAAAGCAGGCCCAACAAATATCAACCACATGTGAAGTTCTTAAAATCTGAATTGAGGTGTGTGTCTTTGAATGACTTGAAGTATGAGTAAGGAGATTTCCTGGGCCAGGTATGGTTACCGTATTTACCAACAATGAACCTTTCTTCCTAGTAGCTTTGTTCTTCCTTCAACACACACAGTTTTCCTGCACTTGGTGTCCCCCAACTATATATGAGTCTCACAGGTCTGCTCTCTAATGTGCGACAAGATTTTGTCTGCTATACACTTGCACCCTAAACCAATGGCCCACTAGTTCTTGCACTAACTAGCTCACAAACTAGAGTCACTCCATTAGAATAACATCTCCATAGAACACTCATTCCATCCCTGCATCATCCTTGCTCAGACTAAGTTTCATCCCACACCCTATGCCCTGCATGTAAGACACTACATACCTCCTCCAAAGTATCTGAAGCTGAAAATAACACTTTGAGGCAAACAGTTAATTATAGACAGTATATTCAGTAAAATACAGTCAATTATTCTCCTCTTGAAGTATTTGTATATGTACTGCCTCAAAAACATGACCAAATTCATGCACAAAAAACGTATGATCTTCTTCCAGTACCATCTAAACCTTTGGGCAATTTCTCAAAATTAAGAAGGAATATTGAAAAACAAAACTAGCAACATACAGATCTCTGTGAAATATTCAAAACAAAATTTAGAATAGAGAGCATTTTCATTGTTACTCTCTTTCATAATAATATCTGAAGTGACACACAGCATTTAAACATTCAGGTTAATACTATGATTTAATATGACAAAGCCTTTGTTTCTGAACATTTATTTTTATAAGCTGCATAAGACTTGTGCAGAGTAGAATAAAGAGTACTGGAGAGTAAACTCTGTAATAACAAATTTCAAACTAACAAAGAAGGAACAAAGTGAGGAATAAAAAGAAAAGTGGCAAAACAGCAGTATTAAGGATGACAGTACTACAAGATTCTGGAAAATAACGCTGTGCAAACCAAAGTAAAAACTGCTACACTATCTTCTTTCGAACAATCATTTATGTAGGATAAAACCTCTGCAAATCAGGACATCTATCTATTGCAGCTTCCCAGCATAGCCATCAATGAAAACAGATGGCATTCAAGATGACTGCTTATATCTAGTCTGTTGCCATGTATGACAAAGTGCACCATGACACATATTGACCATTTCAGACCGTGATGATAATGGCCTGCAGTCACAGATGAGCTTATTTCATTACTCCTATACAGAATAAGCACATTACCACAAATGCTTTTTAACTATTGAGGTTTGACAACTTAATAAAGAATATAAGGTTTTTTACACTCTAATAAGTTGCTGTAAAAGGAAACTTATGATACCATAATGGAAAAGCATTATCTTTTCTGAATTTGAAGCCTAGCAGCAAAATTACTAAACATGAGACTAATTGACACATCTTCTAAAAGATGCTTCAGCATCTACACTTTATGTCCACTTCAAACACACACTTCCAATCTTCCCAAGGAAGAAATGCAAAACAGGATATTTGTTGTAAGGGAACGTCACTAAGCCGTGCACCACGGCACTCCTCACAGCGTCGCTCTGCTGCTGGGTGAGGCGAGGGGCTATCAGCACACCCGTGGGACAGCTGCCCCACGCAAGACGCCTCTGCCCCGCAGCCCACACTCTGTGAATGAAGGGCAAGGGGCCCGGTGACACCCAGACCCGCTCTTTCGCAATCCGGGAGCCCACGTCAACCCGCTTACCTGGCCACGCATCACCCATCTTAACTGACGTGAGTGCAGGTCTGGCGAGGATCACCCCAGCAGCGTGGCCAGGACTCGCGGGACGCTCACGCTCCCCAAGGGCAGCCGAGAGACGGGCACCGCTCACCGACCCCGCGGCGAGGCACGGCCGGGATAGGGCGCGGGAAGCCGCTAGAACGCTGAGCAGCCACCGCACACGCCGCACCTGCTGAGGACATGTTACAGCGCTCTGCCTTCACTCAGCCTCCGATAACGACCGAACAGATTCACCCCCACCGTCTAACACAGCCCTGCACGACGCTGCCACCCACGCAGCGGGGCGGGAGCAATCCCGCGAGAAGAGCAGCAGGGGCAGGCGCGGCTCTTCATATCGCGAGGCTTGCGCTACTTCTCGCGAGAGCGGTAGGAAACGCCGGCCGCGGGTTGCTAGCCTTGGGCCTTAAGTGAGAAGTTTGCGACGTAACGACGAGAGCGCGGTTCGGGGTCTTCGGATTGGCCTTCTCCGCCATTGCGGTTTGTCACTGACTTGTAGTGCAGCAGTCTGTGGCCCTTTTGGGCACTAGCCTTAGGACTGTCATGGAGCTGTGGGCCATGGGGCTGTTGTAGTGAGGCCAGTGTTTGGGAAAGGACTGCTTAGGAGCAACTCCTATCTGCAGAGAGTGCAGCAGCATGGTGGTACCCACACTGACTTGAAAGTGCTTTTGTAGGATGTGTGGAGGTTTGGATTGTGGTACTTGTAGTGCTACTGCTGTGCAGATTTATGACAGATGAACGGTGTGACTTTGCACCTGAAGAGCCCCTGAAAGGAGTGTTGCCAGCTTGAATAATTAGACACCTTGATACATATTAAATTTTTAGCTGAATTTTCTTTTAATGCTGCTGTTGTTTGTAGCAATATTCATACAGGAAGAAAAAAGGGAAGAGATTGTGCCAGCAAGCCAGTAGGGAATCTAGTGGGTGTCATGGCATTTGCTGCTCTGAATAAAACACTGCTAGGAGCAAAGCACAGCAATGGATTCTACCAAACGTGAGTCTGTGTGCTTTTCTGCAGGTAGCAGCCACTTGCCTACTCTGAGACGAATGAGGACTCAACAGAACTCAAAGCAAGATGAAGTTCCTTCTGTACATTGTCTTTGCTGTTAGATGGAATTTTCTTGTAACAATTTAATTAAATACGTGTGGTGGTTTATGAGCCAGTGGTATTTGACTAACAGAAGAATAGCAGGCGTGGAAGCACTGATAGAGTTGCTGCAGCAATAAACTACATAAATATTGGATACCATATACGTTGGGGTAGGTTGTTCAAAAATATAATACCAATAAAATTTGGTTGTTTTTAAAATACGGATGTAGTCATGTTTAGCTACATTGATTCTAAAGGAATGTGACAATAGCCAGACCATCATAAAAACAAAGCTGAAAACAGCATGATGTTTTGAAAATTTGGCAAAATAATGAGAATGTAACCCTCAGAAACTTAATGAATTTCAGCCCTCAAAGCATGTTAGAAAATTCTGCAGGAACATGTAAGTTGTCATTCTAAGGCAAACTTTTAGACTAGGTCATGTTTGAAGATAAATGTTTGTTCACACCATAGCGTGTTTATTTAATGAATATTATGTTACATTTGACTAGTACAGAGATAGTTCTGCTTAACAAGGATTCTTTCCTGTGGAGTGCAGCTGTTGTTTTACTGTCGCTAACATAATATTACAACGTCACAATAGAAGGAAATGAACACATTAGTCTCTTGCTTAAATTTTTCTAATCTTAAGGGCTAATATTCTGCCTGTGCTCCATTATACATTTAAATCTGTGGTAAGATGTCAGTGGCTTAGCTGGAGAAAGAAACTGAAAATCCGATGGATGGTAGTAGTATGTGTCTCCTTTTCTGTCAGGTATACTCTTGTAAGGCTTTCTCTCAAGCAGGGGCAACAGAGGGAGGAATGCATACTTAACAGGAACACTTGGTTACCTCTTATGCCAGTAGATAAAATTCTTCTCATGAATTACAAGCAGATTCTGTATCTTTACACACCTTTGAAGGAAAAAAAAAAAAAAGGCTAGAAAATGGAAGTTGGCCCAGTGAGATCAAAACTCCTTTCATAAAGACATTCTTAAAAGACCAGGCTCATAATGAAACTGTTTTCAGAAGTTAGTGAATTACTTACTTCTGCAATTTATCTTTCAAAGTTTTTAGAATACAGAAGTTCTTTCTAGCTCAAGTTATTTTAATAGGAGCTATTTGCTAAGGCATAAAAAACACCTCACACTGTGTGTTTCTGCAGGAAAAGATTTGTGAAAAGGCTATTTTGAAAAACTATTGCTGTTGCTGAAATGTTTGAAATATCTAAACTGCATGTGAAAATTTGAACTTTGCTCGTATTGACCTTAGATTTAGATTTCATAAGAGAAGTGTTAGGTAAGAGCCAAAATGAATGGGAGAATGGGGATAAACATTAAAAGATGTGCTATATCTCTGAAATGTTCACGTGTAACATTGTGAAAGAGTTTGTTCATTTTAGTGACAAAAATTAAGCGTAGCAGCATTAGAAGTGCTACTAAGAGGAATGTGGCAATGTGACATGCACTGAACAAACACTTTGGAAGGCCTTTTTTTTTCTGTTCCAGATGTTTGCCACACTGTTTAAAACATTTTCCATAAGTAGTATTCAAGAAGCTTTCACAATTCTTAGTGGAAATCAGCCTAGCAAAGTACTCAGAAGTGTCTGGAAACTAACACGCACTATAAGGTATCAAGAAGACGAATTAGAGTCCTTGTGTATAGCTGTATGGCTCACAGTCTGTTTGGGATCATAGAAATGTAGCAGTATGGCTCATGGCTGAACTGCAGGTGATGACAGATCTGGGCAATTTACGACATACTAGCCAGGACAATGAGGAGTGGGACTGGCAGATAATACTTCAGAGAGCTCTGCCTGAGGACAGATCTCAGAGTAACTGAGACAAGCGAACTGAAGAGGACAATGTTGCAATGGATGTCTGCTACAGTCCTCCAGGTCGGGAAGGTGAGGCCCTTTTTGAATACCTTGAGAAAGTCTTCTGCTAGCGGGCAGTTGACCCTTTGGGGTCTTCATCCTCCGCAGAAATATTTAAAACAGCTATACAGTTGAGTGAAAGCAATAGGACATGCTGATAACTTCTTGGCACAGGTGATCAAAGAAGCAACAGATGGAGAATGCCCTGTTGAGTCTGATAGTTGCAAAGATCTGGTCAGAAATGTGAAACTTTCAGGTAGGATTACCTGTAGTAATCATGAGATGGTGGAGTCTGGGATCACAGAGGAAAGGAAAAAGTCAAATAGTAGGATTGTAACCCTGTACTTCAGGAAATCGGGCAATATTCGGACAGTTTGACCAACCTGTTAGCCTTCTGAAACAATTGGCTTGGTGGACTAGGGAAGGGCAGCACCACATATTGTTTATTTTGATGTCAACAAGGCTTTCAGCACATTCTCCTATAATATCCTTTATAGGAAAACTGATAAAGTATGGACTAGATAAATGAACAGTGAGATGGACTGAAAAATGGCTGAACTTCATGGTTCGAGGGGTTATCAGCAGCGCAACTCAGCTTCAGTCCCATTACTGGTAGCAAATGTTGGGTTCAATTCTGGCATCAGTGCTGAACAAAATGTTTTCATTTATGATTCAGATGGTGGGACAAGGTGCATAGATGATAAACAATTGAGAGGAGTGGTTGACGAACTGGACTATTCCACTTGACAGAGAAAAATGTCCTTTGCTTCACAATCACACCTTATTCATGAGATTGCTTTTTGGCAGTACATGCATTTGTGAACAGCTGTTGTCAAGGATGAAATACAGAAATAGTAAAAATTCACGAAAAATCTCTGATCAAAACCTTACAACCACTTCCCTTAAACCAAACTGATGCATTAGCTTCACAAAAACAAGGCCAAGTATCCTACTAGAACATCAGGAGCAGATGCTGATGGGATGGCAGTGGGGGTTGAACCTTCCCACCAATATTCTCTTGCATTTTGTTGTCATGGGACAAATGCAGAGGGGCAGTCTGACATAATGGCAGCTGACATGGAAGTGCAAATAATGCAAAGGTGTATCACTGAATTCTTCCATGCAGAAAAAAATGGCACCCAGTGACATTCTTTGATGCTTGCTGAATGTTTATCGAGTCCCTAACAATGGATGTCAGCACAATGAGGCTGTGGGTGGTGCATTTCAGCACTGAAAACAGTGGGTCACTTCCACTAGTGCATCTTGTGTCGTTTCATGGAAATGAACAGGAGATGTTACTTTCAGAGCAGCTTATGTGTATGTGGCTCAAAACAATTCCTGTTTACTCAGTGCAAACCTGGGAAGCCAAAAGTTTGGACACCCATGGCCTAAACTGCTTCTTCTGTCCATTGCTTAAAAATGAAGAGCTTTAGATACTGGGCAGATTGCTTAGCCCGAGTCCAGTTTGTCCACTGATAAAAAGACATGGTATTACTACTTACATAAATGTGTGCATATTTTAGTCTTATCTTCCTGTTAATAACTCACAAGACCTTTACATCATTCTTTGCTTTCTTACCTTCTGTCATAACAGCCTGAAAATGCTAACGAAGCAGGACTGAAAATGCTGCATAACACTTGTATGTGTACATAAAAATAGATAACATCTTGAGAGTTTAACCCAGTAAATCAGATATACCTTGTATTACTAACTTCTGCTCTTCTCAAAAATAGGACAGTTCTAAATCTTCCTTGATCTTAAAAGCTAGAGCCGTACAATTCTAATAACACGCTGCAGAATTGCCCGTTGAAATTTGTCTGCCAAGTGATGCGGTATTCAGCTTGAATAAACCTGAGACTGATTCCACAAGTGTTACAATGTACTGATTCATTTCCTTCAAGTGTCTGGTTAAAGGGCAACTTGAGGAAAGTTTTGTCCTTAAAGGAATATTGTATATAAATGGATCATGTCAGCAACACTCAGATTTCATGATTGCCTGGACTGGGAACTGGATAATGAGACTTGTCAGCTCTATTGAATGTGTAGCAGATAGTTGCGTAGAGTAGTTCTGAATGTTTCAGAAAAATATGTGAGCATTCAAAAGGCTTGTAGAACAGTTTCAGGTTTACTCTGGGCCTGGTTAAACCAAATCAGTGTAATTGTTCTTCAGAGGATAATTTATTATGTGTTACCCATTTCATTTTACAAATAAAAACTATTTCAGAAATGGAACAGAGCTTTCCATTAGGAGCAGTAGACATAGAAAAGGTTTATGGAGAGCTTGGTTCTTGTAATCCTTTCCTTTCCTTCAGGAAAAAAATAAAACATTTTGCTTCCTGAAACTTGATTTCACTCCTTTCCTTCCTTTTTTCTCTTTCTTTGCCTTTGCCTTCCCTTTTTCTTGGAGCAGGAATGTGAGGGTGGAGTAAACTATACTCAAATGACAAGAAAGTCATTATTTAAATCTCCTAAACAGATTAGACACAAATACAGTATAGTGTAGGAGAATGGACATGCAGCTTTTGTGACTAAAATCACTAAACCTGAATGTACAACCTGTTTAAACAGGCATCTAACTTAATCATCAGGTCAAGCCTACCCAACGTGTTGCTAATCAAATGAAACTGTACAGTTGCCTTTCAGATGTAATACCATCTGTGAATTTTTAGGCTCCTGTGATGATCAAAAATTCAGAAAAAACTACATGTAACTATCAGCATAAAGATAAAACCTATTTTCTTTTTGACTTATTTTAAGGAATTTACCTCAAGTGTGTGAACCACATGCATTTTTAAGGAAAAGTGCAGAGACACGTAGTCATACAAAACCAAAAGAGAATAGTCATGCTGGAAAACAACTCTGAAGGTCCACTAGAATACATGACTGTTGTTTAAACAAAAAATCCTGTTCCAGTACTATGAGTATAATGCAGTGCTTTATACAAGTTATTTCCTGTGTTTCTTTTCTGCATTATTCGTATGGAACATCTATCAACATGAAGTGGCTTGATGAAGTGGCACTTTTTAGAGGAACATTACAGATGTGTACAAATATGCTAAAAGATGCAAACTGGAGCTGGACAAGCTGAAGTGGAGGCTTGTCAAACAATTCAACAGTCATATCCCTAAATAATGTAAGAATGCTATGTGTCCATGCGGAAGGCAGGGATATTTTTGTTCATGGGGTATTTTT